CATGTGTAACCGGACGTCCGTACGTACGGACGCGCCATGGAAAATGAAGTCGATGGGTTAATTACCATTATTTCTTAAGTATGGTGCTCCGCTCGCGAGGGCCTTTGGCCCGCGCGGGAGCTCCGCTATAACCATCAACGACCGATCTACGACTGCTGCCATGAACTTTCGTGTTAATAGGGTCGTAGATAGCGGGGAGGGGAATATATCCCCCACACTTATTGAGGTTGGGGGATGGCGTGTACAATCGTCCCCCTACTTTCAGGAGGAAAATGGGGAAAATTTTCATATTTTACAGACAATAAATACTGAACATTTATCTACAAATCCGTCATCGCTATTCATACTCTCCTAATGTATTATTACACAAATGGAAAGTGATATACATCTACTGTAAAATGTCTGTAATTCGTTCCAAGAATGACATTATTTTACTGAAACTCAAACGGTTAATTTAGGATGCATTCCCCATATACGATTTTTTTCAAAATCCCCAAAGCACGTCTTAATTTATCACTGCTCACGAAAGTTAAATCCCTGCTTTATTCAAAATTAGAATAGACCTATTGGGAATTGGGATATTGAATTTTCACGAGGATTGAATGGGGAAAATTCAATTTCATCACACTTTTGGGGGGATGGGGGGGGGTGCTGAGGCCCGATCGGAAGTATATTCCCGATTTTGTATAAGGGGTGAAAATATGCACTTTTTGGTTCAAATCTGGTTGCTTTTCTCATGCTTTTTTGTACAGTTTTAGCGTTCTCAGTAAAATATACGTTTTATCAAAATTTCAAGGGGAGATGATTCCAGTGCTGTAGTTGTGTGTGTGGGGGGGGTGGGTGCGTTAATAATATTATTAAACCTCTGGGAGCAAAAGAAAAAAATAACCCTAGAATTCACAAATATATTGCACTAAATTACCATTTCAATTTTTTTCAATTCCCTCAAAAACGGCCATCTTGAAGGTTCTAAATTGCTAAAATCCAAGAGCTTCCGGGGGGTCCGCCCCCTGGACTCCAGGCAAGGGCTTTGCCCTGGGCCCTAGGGCGGGCCCCTGGACCCCACCCGTTAAGGGCTTCGTGCCAAGGCGCTCGTGGTGTGCGCTTATAGGCCATTTCTTCGTATACTTTGTGATGGAAGTAACAGCGAAATCATCCCGCCTCCCACAACTAAGGACCTGTCTATACGCCACGGTATTATATATATAATATATATATATATATATATATATATATATATATATAAGTTGTTTCGCGCTAAAGTTCGCGATATTATCAAGAGTCCATATATATGGACTCTTGATATTATGTTACTGTTGTACAAAAATTAAACTTGTGCAAAAAACAACAATTGCACTCACTCATGCACGCTCACACCCGAGCGTGCGCACACGCACACACGCACACACACGCACACACATGCACATACGCACGCGCACACGCACACACACGCACTCATGCACACATACGCGTGCACACCCACACACACGCCCTCATGCACACACACACACATTATGAGCCCCGCCAAGGCCCTAGTGACGCACATGCTGTCTTAATAATGTCTCCGCGTGTCCTCGTGGTGAGGTTGGTGCATGGCGTCCGCAGCCGTGCGGGGTATTTCTTGTTATTTTTTTATTTAGTATCGTATAATTACTAATAATTATCCTAATTTTATTCTGTTACTTAGATAGCTCAAAATAACATTAGGAATTACAATATTAAATGAATTATGAATGAAATACGACGCTATAACCACTAGACCATCTTGCGCAGTGGATAAGTGGATAATAATTTTCAATTACAAGATCGCCTAGTTATGGAAGCCCTGAAACGACATACGCCTTTTTGAGTTTTCGAGTTTCTGAATTTCCGAGTTTCTGAGTTTCTAAGTTTCATCTGCGCATGACTTTTCATATATTTTATTATGTCCGATGTGAAACAAAGAACAGCAATGATAGGCATAGTAGGTCATTTTTTTATAAATGACCCCAATAGAATTTTTAAACTTATTCGATAGCCCCAGTTACAAGAAACAGAGATCCGTTTACAAAATTAAAAAATTCCACTCCTGTGACGAGTTACGGGCATTTTTGTGACGGAATTTTGACCCATTTGGGGAATCCCTATGGGAAGGTATAAAACGGGACATGTTTGGAGCATTCTTCCCCATTGTTTGTGACTTAATTAGTCATATCATCAACATTTCTCAACCAATTACCTTGATATTTCACATGAGGTATGTGCACAGTAGGGGTAATTAGTAGCCGTAATTTGACCTCTCGGTGACTCCTACGTAATGACCTATGACGGCATTAAATTGTACTTTTACTGCATTTCATTGACATTTTTTAGCCATATCATCTACATTTCTCAACCAATCACTTTGATATTTCACATGTAGTATATTCACATCAAACGTAATTTGACCTTTGGGTGAACCCTAGAAGAAGACCTGTGACGTCATCAAATTGCATTTTAGCGCATTTCAGTAACGTTATATTAGACATATCGTCGACATTTCTCAATCAATTACTTTGATATTTCACATGTAGCATGTTCACATCAAAGGTAATTAGTCCCCTTAAATTATGACTTATAACGTCATTAACCTGACCTCACCAGGTAAAAATTTACATAAAATTTACGTTAAATCAATAAAAGTGATTAAGTATGTTATGGTATGCTGTTCCTGTTAATGGAAAGAAAAACCAGTAACATGTTTTAATAATAGATTGGAAATTTATT